CGAGAGCGAATTCCTGCATTGTTGGAAAGAGGGGAAATAAGTAAAACAAACAGTACACAGCCCACCTCCACTGTTATTGAAACTAGATGGGGTGGCCATAGTGAACAAACTAGAAGGGTGGGGCTCATTGTCTAAGTGTGTGATTATTTTTTGCAGTTATATATTACTGGAACCCCAGCGATCCCTCGAAATAAAGGAGCCCCAGCGGGAGAGGCCCACAAGTTGTTCCTTATTGACATACTTCAAGGTCTCGACTTCCCGCCATTCTCTCCATCGCGGAGAGCTCCAACGACTATAAGGCCAATCGCGACAAAACATGGCGTAGTGAGCACCGAGCTCTCGTTCTGCCACAACTGTAATCATGCCCCAGACGACATGGTAGAGACTAAGCGTCCACAGTATGTTGTACCAATCGAGATCCTCTGTGATCTTTCCAAAGACTGTGGGCATACACTTGTTGGCACTGCTGAGACGCGCACGCTGGCACTCCCACAACAGCAAACGATATTTCCAATTCCAATGCAGCGCGTAGCGACGCGAAACAGTTGTCCCAACAAGTGTTATAGAGGTCTAGAAAAGAATGTTAAGGCCGGTAGACTTCCAGTTGAGGTCCCAAAGTGTTTTATTTGTTCTTGCTCCATAGTACCTCCGACCGGATGTTTTGGTGAGTGAAACACACCAGCGCCATTGGGAGGGGCAAGAAGAAACGTCGATCCAAAAATCCTACCATTCCGCGTCCGTCGCACGCACGTCCTCTCATCACGGCAAGATTGCATGGAAACGTGATGGCAAACACCACTGCCCCAGCCATGGCTGGCACAACGAACTCCACAACAAAGAGCACACTTGCGACGTGGTTGAAAGTCATTGAAAGCCTCCTGTTGTGAACGTGGGCGCTGGGTCTGATCCTGGTCCATCTACTGCTTCAACATCCTAAATAAATTCCCGCCTCTCCTCCTCTTCCTGCAGCTTACCCTTCCCCTCTCTTTCCCCTTGCTGCCACTTACCTGCAATAGAAAAAGAGTACCGACGTGCCGATGCGCTTATTTGTTTCTCCTCAGCTCACGTGATACCGAACAGACAAATATGCATGTACATACATATATGCATGAAGGAATATTCCACATAAAAGGTAACGGGAATCAAAAAAGGGAGACAATGGACCATTTGGCAAAAGAAGAAAAGAATGCAGATGAAAGCAAAATCAAGCATCACTCCTTCATCGCGCCTCTTTGTTTGCTCTTCAACTCATTCCCCACGCACCTCAGCCCCAACAGCGCGCACACGCACAAAGAAAGTAGGGAAACTAACAGACGGCGCGGCAAGAGCAGTAGGGGGAGGGAGAGAGTCGTTGTGCCAGCGTGGCGGAGCCACGGGAAAAAGAGAAAGACGAACCTATTTTGCCCCCGGTGAAGTTGAATGAGACTACTGAGGACACCTAAAGACATTGAAGGACAAAAGTACACTTCAAACAAAACTTCAACGCACGTCCACAAAGAAAGTTTGTGTGGCCATCTTCTGCAGCAACGAAAGCAAGCTTCCGCACGCAGCCAACAGAAGTATAGTGTCCTTCACCATAGATAGTAAATGATTAGCATCGTCAGGGCTATACCCCCATACACGAGCCATGCGTCCATTCTATTGCGACGCAGAATCTGAAGAATAGTTGAATTCGCCACACCAATAGACTCCAGTACATCTGTAACTTTGCTACCTGTTCCTTCAAGTCGCCCGCCCTGATCCCGTAATGCCTTCATAACCGAGTTACTTTCGTCCAGCACTGCCCGAACACGTACACGTGCGTAATGCAGAGATTTTCTTTCATCCTCCAAGTGGTGTAGGGAGGAAAGCTCATCACGACCGCCACTGGCCCGCATAGTTCCAAGAAGTTGCTCAACCTCCGAAATGTGCGTCTGGCGCTGCAACGCCTTCCGCCTCGAGCGCTGCAAAGATACTTCAATCAAATTGAGCTCCGCGAGCAGCTGCTGTGCCAGGCGTCGCTGCATGTCAGTCACTGCCTGATTACCCGCAGCTCGCGCATGCATACTCGACGTTTGCCACATTGCCGAAGAAGTGGCGGCGACACCTGACGTCTGGGAACCCAATCGTCCCTCGGACAGCGCCAGCAACACTACACGAACGTTTTCCATTCGCTCTTGCACGTTCTCATACGGCACCGAACCACCTCTTTCCGCCTCGGCCACAAGCCGACTAAGCACCGCCACATCACCCCTCGCTTGCCGCAGCTGCTTCTCCGCAGACGTCTCCTGCTCACTGGTGTCCATGTGATGCAGTCCCGCTGCTGTGGCGGCCCCAACCTACAATCCAATGTAGAGTGGCCAAACCAAGCAAAACCAAATATATATATATATATATATATATATCACAACTTCGCCCCAGCCACTTCCACGTGCGGGCTGCCCCAAACCCTATCTGTTCCACACAAAAAAGTTCAACGGCAATACAACAACAAAAAAAACAACAACACATACAAATGCATCACCGACACTGCAGCGCAAAGAACATGGCGGGCAACACCAGCCGCCAGGTAACACCCAACAGTTGGGTAACAACAACCGATACAAAAAGGCGTGATAAATACAAAAAAAAAACTCAAATATAAAAGAAACCATTATCAACAATAACTAGAAAAAAGAAAATAAAATTTTCAGCACATGAATGGAATTTAAAAAATGCGTGATGGTCATGTATCGCAGTCCAGCTAACAAACATAAAAAGAAAGACGCCAAAAATAAAAGAGCAATTCAACACTTCGCAGGCAAACAGCAAAATAGTACGAAAACAAACCAGCGGCAACCCACAGAAGGCAGAAGAAAGAAAGAAAAAAGAAGTAGACAACAAAAACTCAATCAACCAAAGAAATAAATAACAATAAATAAAAAAACATCTTTTCTTCCCTCCTCTCTTCACTTCTAGACCTGTTCCCCCTACCCATCACGACAAGTGGAATTGGGCCACACTTCCCCTTCACACATCTTTTCTACAAATTTTTGCCCTCAGTGCCGCCATTTCATTTTTATTCTTTTCTTTTGCGTGTTCCCACATCTCGACAAATCTATTCGACCTCTTCGTCATCTACTGCCTCTCCCATACGCTGCTCCCTCTATAACCCGTTAAACGATAAACAG